CATGTTTTATGTCAGGTCATAGAATGTGCAGTAATGGGATTTCATCACAAACACCCACATGCAAAATGTTGAAGATAAAGGGACAGATGACTGTACGGATGTTGTCTCTCTCTCTCACACAGACAGAGGTCACGTTCTATCCTCCGTTGACCAGAGTCAGATGTGGTCATAGTGAGATACAGGGTATATCTCTGTCATTTTATATCATAGTTGACCAGTGTCTGGATGTGATCATAGTGAGATACAGGGTATATTTCGTCATTTTATCTCCTTAGTTGACCAGTGTCTGGATGTGATCATAGTGAGATATCAGGGTATACCTCGTCATTTTATATCCTTAGTTGACCAGTGTCTGGATGTGATCATAGTGAGATACAGGGTATATCTCGTCATTTTATATCCTTAGTTGACCAGTGTCTGGATGTCATCATAGTGAGATACAGGGTATATCTCGTCATTTTATCTCCTTAGTTGACCAGTGTCTGGATGTGATCATAGTGAGATATCGGGTATACGTCGTCATTTTATATCCTTAGTTGACCAGTGTCTGGATGTGATCATAGTGAAATATAGGGTATATCTCGTCATTTTATATCCTTAGTTGACCAGTGTCTGGATGTGATCAAGGTGAGATACAGGGTATATCTCGTCATTTTATATCCTTAGTTGACCAGTGTCTGGATGTCATCAGACTGAGATACAGGGTATATCTCGTCATGTTATATCCTTAGTTGACAAGTGTCTGGATGTAATCATAGTGAGATACAGGGTAATACTGGTCAGTACTACCCTTAGTTGACCAGTGTCTGGATGTCATCATAGTAAGATACAGAATTATATCTCGTCATTTTATATGTTAAGAGTTGACCAGTGTCTGGATGTCATCATAGTGAGATATAGGGTATATCTCGTCATTTTATCTCCTTAGTTTACCAGTGTCTGGATGTCATCATAGTGAGATACAGGGTATATCTCGTCATTTATATCCTTAGTTGACCAGTGTCTGGATGTGATCATAGTGAGATACAGGGTATATCTCGTCATTTTATGTCCTTAGTTGACCAGTGTCTGGATGTCATCATAGTAAGATACAGGGTATATCTCATCATTTTATATCCTTAGTTGACCAGTGTCTGGATGTCATCATAGTAAGATACAGGGTATATCTCGTCATGTTATATCCTTAGTTGACCAGTGTCTGGATGTGATCACAGTGAGATACAGGGTATATCTCGTCATTTTATATCCTTAGTTGACCAGTGTCTGGATGTGATCATAAGATGGGATATAGGGTATATCTCGTCATTTATATCTCGATATCCTTAGTTGACCAGTGATGTGATCTGGATGTGATCATAGTGAGATATAGGGTATATCTCGTCATGTTATATCATTAGTTGACAAGTGTCTGGATGTGATCATAGTGAGATATAGGGGTATATCTCGTCAATTTATCTCCTTAGTTGACCAGTGTCTGGATGTCATCATAGTAAGATACAGGGGTATATCTCATCATTTTATATCCTTAGTTGACCAGTGTCTGGATGTGATCATAGTGAGATACAGGGTATATCTCGAAATATGTTATATCCTTAGTTGACCAGTGTCTGGATGTGATCATAGTGAGGATACAGGGTATATCTCGTCATTTTATATCCTTAGTTGACCAGTGTCTGGATGTCATCATGAGTGAGATACAGGGTATATCTCGTCATTTTATATCCTTAGTTGACCAGTGTCTGGATGTGATCACAGTGAGATACAGGGTATATCTCGTTATTTTATATCCTTAGTTGACCAGTGTCTGGATGTGATCATAGTTGGATATAGGGTATATCTCGTCATTTTATATCCTTAGTTGACCAGTGTCTGGATGTGATCATAGTGAGATATAGGGTATATCTCGTCATGTTATATCATTAGTTGACAAGTGTCTGGATGTGATCATAGTGAGATATGGGGTATATCTCGTCAATTTATCTCCTTAGTTGACCAGTGTCTGGATGTGATCATAGTGAGATATAGGGTATATCTCGTCATTTTATATCATTAGTTGACCAGTGTCTGGATGTGATCATAGTGAGATACAGGGTATATCTCGTCATTTTATGTCCTTAGTTGACCAGTGTCTGGATGTCATCATAGTAAGATACAGGGTATATCTCATCATTTTATATCCTTAGTTGACCAGTGTCTGGACGTCATCATAGTGAGATACAGGGTATATCTCGTCATTTTATCTCCTTAGTTGACCAGTGTCTGGATGTGATCACAGTGAGATACAGGGTATATCTCGTCACTTTATATCCTTAGTTGACCAGTGTCTGGATGTGATCACAGTGAGATACAGGGAATTCCATATCTCGTCATTTTATATCCTTAGTTGACCAGTGTCTGGATGTCATCATAGTGAGGATACAGGGTATATCTCGTCATTTATATCCTTAGTTGACCAGTGTCTGGATGTCATCATAGTGAGATACAGGGTATATCTCGTCATTTATCTCCTTAGTTGACCAGTGTCTGGATGTGATCACAGTGAGATACAGGGTATATCTCGTCACTTTATGTGTTTTAGTTGACCAGTGTCTGGATGTAATCACAGTGAGATACGAGGGTATATCTCGTCATTTATATCCTTAGTTGACCAGTGTCTGGATGTGATCATAGTGGGATATAGAATTATATCTCGTCATTTTTATATCCTTAGTTGACCAGTGTCGGATGTCATCATAGTGAAGTCTGAGGTATATCTCGTCATTTATATCTTAGTTGACCAGTGTCTGGATGTCATCATAGTGAGATACAGGGTATATCTCGTCATTTTATATCCTTAGTTGACCAGTGTCTGGATGTGATCATAGTGAGATACAGGGTATATCTCGTCATTTATCTCCTTGTTGACAGTGTCTGGATCGATCATAGTGAGATACAGGTATATCTCGTCACTTTATATGTTTAGTTGACCAGTGTCTCGGATGTCATCACAGTGAGATACAGAGGTATATCTCGTCATTTTATATCCTTAGTTGACCAGTGTCTGGATGTGATCATGAGTGGGATATGGGGTATATCTCGTCATTTATATCCTTAGTTGACCAGTGTCGGATGTCATCATAGTGAGATACAGGGTTTTATATCCTTAGTTGACCAGTGTCTGGATGTGATCATAGTGAGATACAGAATTCATATCTCGTCATTTTATATGTTTAGTTGACCAGTGTCTGGATGTGATCATAGTGAATATAGCACTTCTCGTCATTTTATCTCCTTAATTTGACCAGTGTCTGGATGTGATCATAGTGGTTGGGGTATACCTAGTCATGTTCACCTAAGTGGATCAATATATAAGTGTGAGAATGTTACTGGCTGTTCGGACGCGTGTCGACAGTACACATTTCTTCATAGAACGTCTGTCTAGTGTCTGCCGGGTATTAGCGTCCGTATGTGCCCGTGCCAAGGTACTGTTATGTGTTACAGCAACTTCGAGTGGCTCACCCTTCACCGTTTGATCATTAGGGCACCAGAAATTGGCTTCACATTGGGGAATGGAACATACGCGACTTCGGCGTGACGAGCGACAGCTTTAACCACTAGAGCCACCCTCACCCGCCCGCACGTGGAGGAAAAGGGGGTAAAATGTTGAGTGATTCGGTAATGGGAGTGTGAAACCCGTCAGTCATCAGATAAATGTACAATGTCATATACATAAAATTACATTAGTACAATGCCATATATATACTCGTACCAATAATGGTTGTCACCCTCTTCAATTTTTTAATTGGAAGAGGGGTGTGAATGAGGGTGTGTGAGGTGTGTGGGGAGGTTGGGATGGGGAGGGGTGACAACCTATATTGGCATGAGTATATTATATATACTGACCTTTGATCAACACATGGCAATAATAATAATAATAATATATTTGTACTGTGAAAATATATGTGGCGCTATATCAACCACTAAGTGAACAATGCATGACGTTCACGGTAGAATTACCCATAACCAGTGTCAACTTCGCATATACTTAAACAATTCCTTTTCCTTGTGCATAGTCTGATTATAAATAGCACAACAATTCTTTCGTTACATGGACGGAAGTTATCTCTAATCGGTCTGTCACAGAGTCCCTAGACAGATTATTTTCCTACAGCCAAAGCCCTCCCTGCAATGCTAAAAGCCCTAAATGAAGCAAGTCTAGATTTCACCAGGTTCTGAATCTCTGGTCTCCCTGGGTCTCCTTTTTCGGTTTTAAATGGGTTTATTTAGTTACTATCAAAGAAATTATATATGTATTCAGAGACTAAACGTTAGTCCTAAGAATCTCTATATGTGCTTCTCAGTTGCTGGATCCACAGAATGCTCAGACAGCCTCACGACACACAGGTGCTGCCAAATGATTGATTGGTTTCTGTACGCGATGTGACTCCCTACCAAACCACATCATTAACTGGTGGCATAATGGATAAACTTTGACATTAGATCAGCACTGCTCACCATGCAAGCCATTATCCTGAAGCATGTCGGTCCACGTTGGAAGAGATTTGATTCTGTAAAATGTGATCCTCATTGTAATTCTGGACACTTACAAAACACAAAGCAACAGTTCTACTCAACAGCATAATACCAATGAAGCATACTGTTAAGATTTATAGTCATCGACAATATTTCAGCCATATCGTGACGTAAAAGTTATAGAATTGATCATTCATTGAATAAAATTACAAAGACTTGTCGACGAATGACAGTAAAATAACTGGAATTATCACAGATAGAGCATTAAAACCAGTATTAAATCTAAAACATTTTAACTATAGAGGACAACACAATATAATGTGAAGCATACTAGTTAGACTTAAAGACATAAACCCCGGTATGCCATGAATGCCGCTCTACTGGAAATCTAATGATATATCACTTTGGTTCCATGACTAATTTTTCAAGTAGAACAGCGTTGTCCTTTCGAAACAACGTATACCCTTGACATGATCCTATTGATCGCCATGACGTCCTTGACTGCACTGCATGCATGCATCACCCACCCAAAGATGCAGAGCGAGGCTTCCTCCTCGACTGACGCTGCAAGCAACGCAGGCGGCTTCAACATATTTGTGTCGTAAACATTCAAATACGTAATGGGTTTCTTAACAATACAATGTGCTGCATGGGCTTTACATATGGTACAGCAAAAATATGCATTTTCAAGTTATGTACTTTCTCCTTCTTAGTACATAGGCAATTTTGGCAATATTCAATTTATTTTTTTGGCAGCATTTTCTGGTAGTTTGCACATGTAGACGATAGTCGATGGTGTACAAGGTGTGTCAGCAGTATTCATATCTCACCGTATGCAGGCTTGCTACACGTCAGAAATCATGCACTGTGTGTTCTACTACAAAGTCTGGGGTCTTCGTTGATTGCATTACAATGTTTTTGAAAGCTATGCGGAGCGGTTGTACCAGCCCGCACGAATATGTTTCGGTTTGTGTTATATAGTAATGACAAGGAGGAAATGTGGCTGTGCCTGGATTAGCAATGGCATTACTGTGCGAACAGCCTTCCTCGCTGTCATCAATAGACCTCGAGTCATGTGACAACGTCATCCCGCAACACAAAGGTTATTGTTTCTTTCTGACACGGAAGTTGACCCTTATCAATAACACCACACGTATATAGGAAGGGCATTGTTCATTCAGATAAATACATCATTTCTTGTTACGAACCAACGAGGTGTTTTGCACATGTTGATTTTAGTCGTGTCTTGAAATCAGCATATGCCTTCTTATAAATACATGATGTTCTTCAGATTCGAAAAGCGGGTAACAATGTTCTACGTGTATATTTTTCCTTCAACAGAGACAAGAGAATGTGAGATTTCGAACTGAGATGTGTTCTACCACAGACATACAATCTTAGCATATTGTGGTTCTACCAGAGGTCCGTTTCCTTGCTGCTATTCACAGACTGAAGGGGAGAATCATGTGTGTACATCTCTTGATTATTCTCCAAAGCAAGCATACAGTGCACCGCGACGATACACGGAAGGACTCTTTAAATATATTTAGTCGGGGACACCTCAAATCTGAAATTTGATAAATGGGCTATAGTGGAGTTTCGTTATTACCGATACAGATTCAGATAAACAATCCAACCTTCTCATCGCCCTCCCTCCTCTCCTGCGCACACGAACCTCACGCACTGAACGTCTCGTTCATCGTCCATCCTTCTCTGCAGCTTATGGCAACGTGGGTATGTTTGCATGTAATGTATGTAACAATTCCAACCTATAGACCACATATCATCTTCATACTGATTTCAAGTATATGTATATTATGTAAATGTCAGTAGTGTATGCGGGACGGATGCAGCTTTTGAGAGGAATGTGTGTGTGTGTCCATTATTCGTCGTGTGCGCACAGTTATTTTCACCCGTCTTCACGATAGTTTCAATGGTCATTTAGTAAACGTTCAGGACCAAAGTGGCGGTGCGCACTGAATATG